TCTACAAATTCTAAGTAAATTCGGTCTTCTCACTTTTGTGAAGCAGTACCTGCCAGTTAGTATTACTGCTTGGTAGATTTAGTGTTAAATGTTTTCTCGCGGCATTGAAGTAGAACAGCGACATGCTCGCAGTTCGCACAGTCGCAGTAATTACAATTTATGCAAGAGATCGCAGTTCACGGACGCACTGTCGCATTACCTGATTACAGAAGCACGACATCCGCTCGATATGTCTAACGATTTCACAGTGCTTCGCAATAAATTATCTGCGACGATCGAATCGCAAGACAGCCGTGAATTAAAGTGTCAACAAGTTAATTCTCTTTCCAGAAATTGCTCCGACCATTCGGTGGACCATTTTTCGAAGACCATTTTGGTCGAAGACCACCCGGTACAATCGACAAGAAATTCACGATGGAGTCCTCGATCCACAAAAGGGCATCTGCTGCCGAAACGAATAGGAGAAACTGAAACTGAGCATCGTACTCCTGGCAATCCCTTTAAACGGGACTAGGACACTGCTTCAGAAAAGGATCTTTCCGGCGATCCAGTCTCAATGACACCGCCCTAAGTCTATCCGAGCATTCTTGCGGCAACCTCGCCGCAAACTCGAAGTAGTCTCTCGAAGCTTCTGTTCGTGGATTTAGGCTCCTCGAGGAGACGAACAAAAGTCTTCTGACTGCAATTACCAGAGATCTTCATGCGAAATAAAGCTGTTCTTTGCCCTTTGTAACGAGCGCAAGTCGAATCTTCTATTCTATAGTACTTTTAGACAGTTTGATTTTCTTAAGTTTTGTTTAATATTTCGTCCGTTTCAGAGTTCGCCGTTATTCGAATCGTTTCGAATGAATATCTATCTGAAATAATTGTCCGGACGAATTACTTTTGGACGAATATTTGATTCGAATAATTTAATATTCGTCATTAATTATTCTATCTATTTGTTCGAATGATTCGGAAAACTTCATTATTCGAATAATTCGAAAAAGTAATATTTATATAAGAATTTATAAGAACATAAAACGCTTTATATTCTATCATTTTTCTTATTATTTATCTTATTTCTTGTTGTTGTTATTATTATTATTTTCCATACGAATTCCTGCACAAATAAATTCCTATTCGAATAAAATCCGATTCGAACGAATACTTGTTCGAATAATATTTCATTCGGATTAATTTGTATCTACATAAATTGTCATTCGATCGAATGTTTATTCGACAGCGTCGAATACAATTTTCTTCGTTAAGTCTTTATCTTTTATCCGTAATCCGAATAAAATTTTGTCCAAACTCCGGTCCATTCTAAATGTCTTCTATCCACCGTGCAAACATCGTACGACCGCTTTCATCGTAAACGCATAAAATTCGTACGTCGAGCGTTTTCTTTTCAACGACGATTTTCATCGCGAGTTCGGTGAAGCGCTGTTTCCAACGAGGTTGGTACAACGCGCGACCGAATTGTACATGTACATTACACCGACAGATACGTGAAACGCAACAACAACAACGTAGCAAACGCGAATAAAAACCGCAACGTCGCCGTCTTTTTTCCGGCGTATACAAAACCGCGAAGAACATAAATTGTCTATTAATACCTTGTTTGGCGAATTTAATTTTTCTCGGGGGTACGAATCTCCGTAAATATATTCCCTGTCTATGCATGAAAAATGAATTCCAGAAGCTGTTTTGTAGCTGCCGCGTGGAATCGCGCGGTTGATAAAGAAAATACGAAAAACATTTTCTGCGTTTCATCGGGGGAATAAAAACGGTGCGATAAGAACTCGCTAGAATAACGCTGAAAACAACTCGGACAGAGTGGTTCGAATTATACGTGTCAGCTACTTTTCCCATTCCACGATCGTTCTCGGCCGTCGTACGTCAAAATCAACCTTGAAATCGGAAAGAAATGGCACGATTTCGCGTTACGACGAGTATACTCGTCAAAGACTGGTTAACCGGCTAGCTGTGTTCGGCGAGTATACTCGTCACGGAGAAATGGCAATATTTTATATATTTATACTCGAATATACTCGTCGTGCGTAAGAAGTAGCGACCGTTGGCTATTTAAATTGTAATTTTAAGGAAAACAAAATCATATTCTCAAATTTCAAGATGTTCAGAATATTTTTAGGCCAATCCCGCACGAAGTTGTTTACATTGTTATAAAAATAAAATTAGAAAAGAATCACGATATTGGTGTTCGACGTGCAAAGTGCCATTATATATTGTTCCTTGCTTTGCTAAGTACCACTCTCTCTACAGCAGCAATTTGAATTTTTAACTTTCATAAGTATTCGATTATCCCTGGGGTTTTTGTTTATCATGTATATGGTATATGTTAACGTCGAGCGAATAAGTAAATATTAGTAATAAAATTGTTAATTTTATGAAATAAAACCGTCTTTTCGACTCGATATTTTAACAGCGACACTTACATTGTGTTCGACGAGTATACTCGTCACGGAGAAATGGCAATATTTTGTGACACGACGAGTATACTCGAATATACTCGTCGTGCGTAAGAAGTAGCGACCGTTGGCTATTTAAATTGTAATTTTAAGGAAAACAAAATCATATTCTCAAATTTCAAGATGTTCAGAATATTTTTAGGCCAATCCCGCACGAAGTTGTTTACATTGTTATAAAAATAAAATTAGAAAAGAATCACGATATTGGTGTTCGACGTACAAAGTGCCATTACATATTGTTCCTTGCTTTGCTAGATACCGCTCTCTCTACAGCAGCAATTTGAATTTTTAACCCTTTGCACTCGAAGCTATTTCAACTGTAAATCTAAAATAATTTTTCTGACTTATATATAGTATTTTTATTTTACACGAAAAAGTGCATCCTATGCGTATGAAATTGACTCTTGTGACTCGCACAACGGTTATGCTCTTAACAGATAGTTCATTTATGATGTTAATAATTAAGTTAATAATTTTAGATCGTGACATCATAAATTTTAACGGTGCCTCAGAGTCACCGCTCGAGTGCAAAGGGTTAACTTTCATAAGTATTCGATTATCCCTGGGTTTTTCGTTTATCATGTATATGGTATATGTTAACGTCGAGCGAATAAGTAAATATTAGTGATAAAATCGTTAATTTTATCAAATAAAACCGTCTTTTCGACCCAATATTTCAACAGCGACACTTGCATCGTGTTCGACGAGTATACTCGTCGCCGCTCGATTCTCGCGACACATATAGGTGCGCGCTCTGAAATCGAGGCGCCACAGTTAAAACTGGTTAATTCTGTTTCTCGGTGAAATTCGAGCAGTCGAGATATTTCACGTTCACCGAGGTTTTCTTCGGTAAACACACGGTTCCGTCTCGGCGCGGCGGCCGCGCTCGGCTCGATCGCGTCGCGTTATTCTGACATTACAAACATGTCCGGCGGGTTAATCGGCGGCGTACGCAAAAACGAGTTGCCTCGATTAAACGTGAAGTAGCTCGTGACGAATTAATGATTACACGCGGCCGCGGACCTTTACACCGTTAAACGACCGTGCCACGAGTTCTACGGGAACCGGGGCGTCGTCGCACGTGCGCGATGTTAATGCATGCGTGCCACCCGATCATATGTATAGTCGAAGCAAACACATTACCGGGGAAAAGCTTTTAATCTAGCATGCAACTCGTTGGCCCAAGTCGAGCGACGCTCGATAAATACTGGCCACAAATAATTTTAATGACCCTCATGAAAGAATTATGACAACCGGGCACGGTCAGCCTCTCCGCTCGGACGCTCCGCGCGAACGGTGAAAACACACGTTTTGTCATCGGCACGGAGTCTATGGCCGAGTATATCCGAATGGTCAATGTTTGACGACCGGAAACCTAATATTCTTCCAGGCTCGAGTAATTTGTCAAGTTTAGGCTACCGGTGAGAAGCCGGCTCCGTGAAATTCTTCGAATGGTCTCCATAGTAACGAATAAGTTACGATCGGCGGTGGTTATCGGCGAATCGAATTCTATTCGAATTATTTTGAAACGTGATATAACAACTGTTCGCGAAACCTTGGAGTCGCCACTCGACTACAGACGGTTAATAAACATGGTAACACTCTTTGTTTCTAACAATGAAGAAAATGCGGCTCACACCGCTATGATACCGACTCGCTCGTTTATAGGAAATTCATTCGATATTGCATTGGACATATTCGCTGCCCGAATTCTTCAATACCAAGATACGTCTAAATAACGAAGTTTAAAGATAGACGCATTCGAAGCTTTATTTCCCGAATGATAATTCCCGATAATAATTTGGTCTTCGAGAACAATGAAATATTACTTTCGTTAAATTTTGTACTAACGTATATTGAAAAAAATAAAATGAAATAAATATACGCGTGAATAAATATGATAGAAAAAAACGAATCCGTATAAATGTAAATCTTTTAATACCTGAACATTTCTCCAGATACACGCGAGAAACGTAGAAATGAAACTTATTCGGATAATACTACATTTGGTATGAAATAGTAGAATATCTGCAAATGTATATTGAGAAAGATAAAATAAAATAAATATACACGTAAATAAATATAATAAAAAAACGAATCCGTATAAATGTAAATCCTTTAATACCTGAACATTTCTCCAGATACACGCGAGAAACGTAGAAATGAAACTATTTCGGATAATACTACATTTGATACGAGATAGTAGGATATCTGCAAATTACGTTATTAGAACTGCGACATATTACGATAAATCTCGTGAAAAATTTGAATAAATCTGTTACTTTTACGAGGTAAAATAATAATAATAACCTAGACCTAGTGCAGAAAAAGATATTGGAATCTCGTAATACGAAACGTCGAATTTCTTGTTAGTCGGATATATCGATCGATCATCCTCGTCTTTCAGGAAATGATCGGCCGCAAGAGAAATTGTGTTTGCCGAGGCCACGAAACAGACCGAAACGGTTTCTAAAGTAGGAAAAAGTAATCTCGGCTCTTATGTATGATCTCTCTCTCCTTCGACCTTACCTCGATCCTCTCCTCTTTGAGATCGACCTGCTGCGCAAGCTGCTCCCTCAGGATCACGTCCGGATAGTGAGTCTTATCGAAGGTGGCTTCCAGTTGCTCCAATTGTTCCTCGGTGAATATTGTTCTATGGCGACGTTTCCTCTTCGCCATGGGCCCGACGGCGGCCGCGTTCGGATTTATTTGATAAGGATGAGCCGCGTGGTAGAAAGCCGGCTGTCCGTGCAGCGAAACGCCGGCGGCCGCCATTGCTGCCACGTATCCGCCGGAATACAAGCTCGGATACGCGGCGGCTGAACAAATAACAGAAATGTTAATAACATCGGATCAGAATCCTCCTTTGCTTAGCATCGCTTTCGGTAAAAAGAAAACTATCCCCCGACTAAATCCACTTTACCCGCTTTTTGAACACCGCGCTAGGTGTCGGGCTCGTTAAAAATGAACGAGCTGTTCACACCCTCGCCACCGTCATTCAATCCCGCGTGCTTATGCGCGCGAATTAGCCGGCATCCGTGACTATTTACTCCCGTTTCGCTTCTTCCGCGTTTCGTTGGCGGAGATCGTGGATTTTACGCGTTCGCGACGAAGACGGATCTCGGCGGAGCGCGGAGACTGTTTTAATTCTGCAGATCGCTACTCCTATTTTGGACTTACCGATTTTCATTTAATTTTTCTCTGTGCCATAATCGACGTAGACAATTCTTATTTTACTTTCGTTTTAATAAAATCTGTGAAAATACTTTCAAGCGATATCGTTCTTTTTTCTTTTCGAGGCAAAATTCGATTATTTCGAGCGAGAAGGCTGAATCGTCGTCGCAGGAACCATCGAAAAGGAAAGAGAGGCGAAAGAGTAGAGCGTGAATTTATTTATTGTAATTGAAAACTGTTTCTGTTTTTTTTCTTTTCAATTTAGCGTTCGAGGTGTCGTCAACTCTCTTAGAACGTGAAAGACCGCAAGAAGTTTTTATATAAGTTCGTATATAAATTAAATTGAAAATCCAAGCACGGGGTCCGCGTCTGGAAGATCAGACTGGAAGAACTGTTCGAGTTGTTTCGAGCACCGTTCGAGGAGAAAACTGGAACGAAGCGGGAATATCGGTCGACGGGATGTCGAAATTGTAATATCGTTTAGCATGTTGCGACGCCGTTGCGAATAAGGGGGGCGAAAAACACGAGCCGGCCTCGCGGGGGATATTTTGGTTTAAAATCTCGAAGAAAGCTGCTTAGACGCGACGTCGCCGCGTAAAAATGCGCGAAGGGCGTATTTGTGCTTTCAACCGGGTCTCGCTCGGTCTCTTTCCCGCGGGCTTGCATATTTTCCCGTTCCTCGTTTTTCATCTTCCTTGCGCGGGATTGCAAGGAGCTAAATCGTTCGCGCGTGATGGAAACGGATTGTGGATTTCTGGCCCGCACATCCCCAATCTGCGCCCGTGTGCACCGTCTCTTTCTCCCTCCCTCCTTTCTCCTTCGCTCTGCTCTCTCCATCGCGCGAGTGGAATACTTAAAGCCCTCGGGGGCATAAAGGAAATTTCGTTGCCAGAACGCGTCGGGCCCTCCGAGGATTTATGCCGTCTTTCATTTTTCCGCTACGAGGCCTCGAAGGACTCGAAACCGCCGCGCACGAAAATTGTCACCGTCGTCGTCGTCGTCGCGAGTCGCGGCCAGCCGATGTTTCGTTCGAGAATGTGCGCGACAAAGCCGCGGAAGTCGCTTTTCTCCGTTTTACTCCGTTCCGCTAATCGCTTTGTTCGCCAAACGGGAAACGAGACGTTCTCTCGCTACGGCGAACCTCTGCGTTTCGATAGAAAATCTATGGTCTTCGCCGATTCTGTTCAATTTCGTTCTTATTTGTTCGACGATTTTAAATTCATTCTTTCGAAATTTCACGTTAATTTACACGTCAGCATACGATCGCGAAGAAGCGGAATTTTGAAGGAATTAATAGACTTGGACTAAGAGCCGGTACCGAAGATCGGGATTACGATGATTAAAATATTAAGATGAGTTCGAGCGTTCGCACGCGACGATTAAACTGCGAATTTTTCTGTGCAATCTGCGCCTGCCGCGCGGTTAACAAAACGTCTTCCTTTTGGTTTATTTAAACACGTTCTTATTTAAAAGTTCAATTATTATTTGCTTCAATTATCGGCTACCGTTTCAAATTCGATCCACTCGTCTCTTTGTAAACGAATGCGTAAAATCCGCCGGCTTTATACCCATAAGTACGCTTCGCGGGTGAAAATCTGCCGCAATTGTGTTGTAATTTCATGCACTTGTTTGAATGTTATTAATATTATGAATATTATAAATATTATTAATATTAAAAGCGAGACACGACCGATCGTATCGAAGAGCGACGCAGAAACGAATGGAAAATAAAGAAAGATTTCTAAGGTAACTATTGGGTCGGCCAATAAGTCGTTGCATTTTTTCCCCATCTTTCCCCAGACGGCAATACAACGATAAAACGCAATGATTCATCAGCCAATCGATATTTTTAACAAACGTATGCAGATTTTACGCTTCCTATGTTTACTTTTGCGATACAAACGTGATCGAAAAGAGAGTAGAACCAGCTTCCTATAGACTCTCATCGTTTCAATATTCTATTAAGAAAATAAAGTATCGCCAGACAAATTTGCTAAACTATTTTCGAATTACATATGAAAGTTCCCCTCCATGCTTCGTTCGCTTCTGTAAGCCATTAGACTGCGGATTTGATGCGTTCATGGCAAAAGTGTGACGGTGAAACGTCGAATCGGGGAAAAGATCGAATGAAACTAAGAACGTTGACGAATTAACACTTCCACGACCGCGCTAGAGAGCTCAAAAATTTTCATAAAATTAAAATATCTCATTCTATTGAACAAAAATTACGAAGCAAACTTATATGGCATCAATTACTTCATTCATTTGCATTCGTACTTCATGCAAATCTTAATAAAATCAAGCAATCAGTTTTAATTTTTCATTAATCATCCATTCGGTCGTGTCAATCGACTGAATTTAAAACGGGAAGATCTGCCCATTCGGTTGACCAAGTGTTAATTTCAACTTATTAAAATGATTTAAAAAAAAAGAAGGATATCATACTCGGCTCATTTGTCTTGCAATCGCTGCAGACGATTTTCTTCATATTCTCTTGAGATTATTTTCCATTTTAAAACGCGTTCTCTTGCATTTTAATAAAATACACAATTTCCAAAGAATATCAACGGCTATATCCTTAACCGGTTAGCTGTATACAACGAGTATACCAATTCGTCGCAACGAAGAAACGGCAACATTTTGTATCGCGGCGAGCATACTCGTCGAGAACGGTCGACTTGGAGAAGAGACAGAAAAAACGAGAGAAAAGATAGGAAAGAGACGGGTCTCTTTATCTAGAAAGAAAAGTAGATCCGGCAAAGGATCCGGTAACTTACCGAAAAGATCGGCGGACGTGAAGGCCAAATGATGTATCTGCTGCTGCAGAGGGTGCATAGCGGCGGTGGTCCTGGAAGCCATAGCCTCCGGGTTCTGTATGATGGGTCCCAGTCCGGCGGTGTTGCCGGGCGTCATGTTGCCGATGGGCCTGGGTGCCAGGATGTTCTCGATGGTGAAGGCGGACGTGGGCGAGGACATGGTGGCCGACGAGCTGGGCCTGGTGACCTCGCGCTGCCTGAACCGCATCTCCTCCGAGATCAAGGAACCCCTGGAGACCATTTTCTCGCAGTCGACATCGTGCCTCCTCCCGGCGACGCGGTTCTGCTCGTCGGCGTTCTTCAGCTTCTGCTGCAGGCTTTCCGGGGAATAATTGTACAGATAACGATGCCCGTAACCGGAAATACCGGGACCATCTTGGAGAGGACTCGACGGCTCCGTCATCGGAGAACGCGATCTGGGCGAGTCGCTCGCATAGGTGCTCTCTACCATGTTACGCGCCGAACCTACTATTGTCAACGTTGAACCGCCACTCGGACACTTCGAGCCTCCTCGACGAAACTCTCTGTCCGGGTTTCGAACTGTCTTCCAGCCGTCCGAGATCAGTGCCGACGCAAAGACATCGTATCTAGCCAGTCGACGACAGCCTCCGTCGCTGAGAGGACTCCGATCAGTGTCAACAACGGTCACGCGTCGGCTCCTTTCCGAAATGTCACATATCAACGCGCACAGGGGATCGTCTCCGGGCCACGAAGATTGCTACGAACTCTTCGCCGATCCTCCGAGGCTCATCGCGATCCTTCACGGCGCACTAGTATATCTCTGTTCCAGGGTGCTGCCGAGCTCCTTTGTCTCTGTCGAGCACTCGGAATCGTATCACTGGCTCACAACTGTCGTCGACGACATCGGGACATGGACGATCGTCGTCGAACGACAACTACAGAAGCAACGAAAGGGGAGAGAGAGAGAAGAGAGAGAGAGAGAGCAGTCTTCGTTCGTGCCACGAAGAAGACTAGGACGAGGGTGAATCCGCGCGAAGAGCTGTCCAGTCATGCAGTGACATCGATCAGATAAACGATATCCGACGACTGGTTCTCTCGGCTCTCTGTTCTCGGATCTCTGCTCTCGGCTCCGTGTACGCGTTGACCTCTCTCGGGGGTGCGCTTAGATTTGCCGACATCTACGCACGGGGAGCCACCCCCGTGTCAGTGACAGAGCAACAGAGAGACACCCTCGAACATAACCGAGCGAACTTTCGTGGACACGTCGGGGAGGAGGCGTGGCCCGTTTTGGCCCCGTCCACTTTCCCCCACAGACCGGCCGGTCGGCGGCATCCCCTACGCGAGGCGAGGATGCCGGGAAGTGGTGGGGGCACAGGGATGGCTCGTGGATCGAGAGGGAGCGACTCGACGATGGTTTCCAGGAGGATGCTGGCGTAGGTGCAATCTCTTGATGACAGCGATGGACTCGACGCCGGGAGGGAGGCAGGCTCGACGAAAGACAGAGGGGGTGGGGGGTTGGAACGCAGAAACACGACCGACGGGATGCCCTTCCAACCCCGTCCGCGCGAAGGCTGCCAAAGCCGGGACACGCCGGGGATGGCGAGCAGCGACGTATCCGGACCGGAAACGGTGGGAGCGAAACGTATTTACAACGGATAATCACGATGTGTCTCGCGTATTACAGAGCTTCCCGAGTTTGCCTTGCGTATCGTATTCACAAATTAATCATGCTTCCGGAAGTGTTTGGTTTCGGAACCGTCGCGATCGAACCAACCGGTATTGTTTCTGAAAATAATTTCTCGTTTTCCCTCTTGCTGCTCTCTCTTTTTTTCCTCTCCCTTCCTTTCTCTCCCTCTCTCTCTCTCTCTCTCTCTCTCTTTCTCTTTCTCTCTATCCACGATCCGCCAGGATTATCGTAGTCGACATACTCGGCTTTTCTCTCTTTCGTACCGGATTCGATTCGCGAAGGAAGCCTTTCACCGATCAGCTGGATACAGTAAATTCTCTCCAACTTTCCTTCAGCTTGTAAACAAAAATGGAGAATTTGGGAAGAGGAGATACGATCGTTCGATCCTCGTGTGATTCGTTTTTATAGTTTCCGATTGTCAGAATTATAAAAACGAGATGCAAGGCTCGAATAATAGTATCTCCTCTTTCCAAATTGTCAATCTTTCTTTACAAGCTGAAGGAAAGTTGGAGAGAATTTTCCGATTGTCAGAATTATAAAAACGAGATGCGAGGCTCGAATAATAGTATCTCCTCTTTCCAAATTGTCAATCTTTCTTTACAAGCTGAAGGAAAGTTGGAGAGAATTTTCCGATTGTCAGAATTATAAAAACGAGATGCGAGACTCGAATAATCGTATCTCCTCTTCCCAAATTGTCAATCTTTGTTTACAAGCTGAAGAAAAATCGGAGAGAATTTGCTGTTCACGGAAACGAGATCCGATATTTTTGAATAGGAAAACTAAGTTTAAACGCGCACGGATTCGCGAATCGAACCCACCGGTTTGCAACCGTTCGCTGAGATTCCTGGAACTGTTCTTCTAAATGTACACCCGACCTACGCGAATTTCCGGAACACACGTGGATTTGTTTCGCGCGAATAAAAACCAACGTGTAATGTTCTACGTAACTTACTTGTTTAGTTGGTTGCTAAACACGAGGAACGTTTAAAAAAACATGTAAACCGGTGTAATTTTATGCGATGCCTAGTTCGGCATTCTTCGCAATGAAGAAGAACGATTGTACAGAATGAAAATGATCAATTAATTATTTTCACTGGAAATGTGCAACGTTCAAAAAAATATATATAAAATGACGCCTGACTTCGCGTAGAATAAAAAACAGAATAAAAAACAAGTTTGAACAATATCTAAAGAACATTAGACGTGAATTTTAAAACGAGACTTTCTTTTAAAACAAAAGTTCTCCCTTTTGAATCCGCAATTACGTAAACCTTCGATTTCATCTTGTTTCTCAATCCATTTCATTTTGGATGATATTTCTGCGTCTAATTTGGCAAATTATCCGCGGCCGAATAGGATGTCTCTCGCGAATTAAACGCGCAGATTCCCTGTGATAATAGCGAAACACCGAGACACGATTGCCGGTTTAACGCTACGGAACCGGGAGCACAAAATTCTGTAACGTTGTTCCGGCCAGGCAAGCGCGGTGGCGCGTTATGAATATTCATAACCGTGTTTAATCAAAGTAGGGCTAAACCAGAGTAATTCGGCTAATCGAGAAGGCACTAATCGCTTCATTGATTGTGGCGCTGCTGCATTAAAACATCGCCGTGTCGGGGGGCATTTGGAATTCGAACGCTGGATTATCGACTGGATATTACTGGCTATTCGACTGCGCTTTTTCCATGGCTTTTTCCCCACTGCTTTGTCGGCGATGTGTGGACTCGAGTAAAACATCGAATAGATTTTTTACACAATTTTAGATGCGTCGTCGAGTTCGGCACCGTGTACACCGCGAACGAACATTTTAGCGAGGACTACAGTAATGTCTCCCTAACCAACGCTCAGATTGTACAGAAAAATTGGACAATTTGAGAAAAGGAGATTCGATTATTTGAACCTTGTAGCTCGTTTTTTTTATAGTTGTTAACCCTTTGCGCTCGAGTGGTGACTCCGAGGCACCGCTAAAAAATGTTTATATATCGCATTCCAAAATAATTCTTACGTCGAGAAAATTTAGATTCGAAAAATTGTCAAAAATATAACTGTTGTATAAGTCGCAAGGCTCAATTTCACACGCATAAAATGCGCTCTGTCGTATAAAATAGCGTAGGTCAGAAAAATCATTATAGATTTACAGTTAAAATGGCTTCGAGTGCAAAGTGTTAACAATTTGTAACTATAAAAACGAGCCGCGAGGCTCGAATAATCGTATCTGCTCGTCCTAAATTATCCATTTTTGTGGACAATCTGAGCGTCAATTAGATAGATATTACTGTATTTCGAAAAGCTTCCACTTTATCACCGGCGCTGGTTTAATAAATAAAATAAATCGCAGATCTTTACAACTTTTACGGTTGTAACTGGTTAAGGTTACTTTTATAATTTTCAGATTATTTTTATAATTCCAAGATTAATGTCCTTACCACGTTCAGTGCCCGTCGCTTCCGTTCCTGCATCATCCGATTTTGGCGAATTTTTCGGCATGACTGACACGAATCTATCGAACGTATTCTTTAAATTTTCATTGACCCATTCGCATCATTGGCGTTTGCATACGTTTAGTTTATTTGGATTGAAACAACCTCGTCGAGAGAAAAAGACTGAAAAGCGTTGCATCGGGTTGTTCATCGATCGTAAACAAAAAAAGAGAAACAATTTATCAGCATGATAACTGCGAACTAACTTGACTCGTTGATCGTTTTGAATAATACTGTACAAAACAATTGATAACGTCATTGTGTTGCGTCCTTATTTTGCGATGCACAATCGAGTTGAAAGCACAGAATGCAAGAAACAACAATTGTTTTTCTTTGCCCAAGTGGAATTCGAAAGTGCTGTACGGTAGAATTTAATATATTGGGTTGGCAACTAAGTAATTGCCGATTTGTTCAATGAAATAAAAAATTTTTTTTACTTGGAATGAAGTTTAATCTGTAATGTATTTTCCATTTTGTTCGATGACCTTTTGCCATCTCTCCGACAACATGAAAATTCCACGCTCGTAGAAAGCCTGATCCTTTTCGGCCAAAAACTGAGTTAAGTGAGATTTTACAGCGTCATCATCATTAAAAGTTTTACCACGAAGGGAGTTGTCCAGGGATCGAAATAAGT